ATTATGGCCCAGGCTACGATTGTTTATGGAGGCGGCAGTTAAATTACCGCCGGTTGACGTTACACGGACATTTCGGCGGCTGCTTTCCCTCCGTTGTCGCTGTAATTGTTATTTAACAGTGGTCGCCACCGTCCCCCTCCCCATCCATCCTCCTCCTCGCCACTCCTCTCCCGTCACTCAAATTCGGGACCCCCCCTCCCCCTCGTTTCCCGAACTAAGTGCCGCAATTCGCGCTCGTTGTTGAAACGCACGGTGATGAAAAGCGGTGGGGAAACGCTCGGAATTTACGACGGTCAATTTGTTCGGATTTTAAAGACGCGTTCCAGCGAGAAACGTAAGTGAGTAGAGTATGAACCGTCGACGGTAGCGCGACGGTGGAACATCCCGACGGTCATCCTTTAGATAGACGAACGTCGAATCTCATCGCGACTTCCGCGAATTGATGGCGACCGGTGTCTTTCCCGCGAAGTTTCGTCCGCAGATATACGACTCTCCTGCTGACGGACCTGACGTCACCCCATCTCGGTCTGTCCGCGCTTACTACGCGTGCTTTTTCGTTATCGCGATGTACGAGTCTCGGATGAGATGCCGGGGAGTCCGGTGTGAGCGAGATAAGTTCGTAATTCGTAAGACGTCTATTTTAGATGTGACCTCATATTTATCCGGTACCTTCTTATTCTCCGCCTCCGAATCCGGAGAAGGGAATTAATTTAATTTGTCCCTGGCAAAATCGAACGCTTAACGTTGAGTAACTTAAAACGGACGAATTATTACCGACGGTAATTGACAGAAGTAGGGACGTGCTTCGTGAAATAGCTCCGTGTCAATTTACGGCAAGACGATAATCCTTAAATATTCGATAACCCCGTCCTCTATTCCGGCGAATAATTTAGCATCGGGGACGACGATTAGAATTTCCAAAACATCCGGAAGCTATTATTCAATGTGCCGGGGCACGCGCGTTCCTATCGATTTATCATCGAGACGATCGTGGCGGTAAGGTGTTCGCGGGTTCTACGTAGATGACACGCAAACAATCCTTGACAGCCGTCACTTGACACCAACGTCAAGTGTTTAATGCGAACGCATAGTCGTCGGATGGATATCTTGTGTTTATCCAGTTACGCGAACAAGTCTGACACGGGAGTAACATATCCCTATTGTTTTTAAAAGAAAAAATTTAAGCATAACACGCTAATATTAAACGCGACACAATGTACATATATATATATATATATATATATATTCCAAAATACGCTTCCATTTTGAACAGCTTGAATCAACGAGTGAGATATCATCTGTATTGCCGCAGAAATGAATTCTAAATTCCCTGACTTTTCCATGTTTTACAGATGACAGTGGAGAATTTTCCATGACAAATAATATTAAATTTTGACATTTAGAAGCAGAAAGTACAAGAAAAGTAGCTTATCGGATGCACACAATTTTAGAAATCTAGTAATGTAATGTAATCTTGAATGCAAATTTCAAGTTAACAAAAAATAAATGAGTATTGAGAAAGAAATATAGTTGAATGACAAAAGAGAGATTAAATAAAAAAAATTTCTTTCTAAATATTTCTTAGAACAAAAGCATTTAAGGGAATTATGAGCAAAGTTCAGTATTCCAGACTTCTTTATATTTTTTCCTGACTTTCCCAGGTTTTTTCCCTGGCCAATTTAAATTTCCATGGCTTTTTCCCAGTTTTCTCTAACCGATTTAAATTTTCATGATTTTTCCTGGTTTTCCAAATCCGCGACAACCGTCTCTATATCTAAAAATATGTTTAAACTTCAATTGTGTGTGATTGTTAGACGGTATCACGGTAACCGACAAATTCAGAGACTGAAAAACTTCGAGCTCACCCCCAATGCGTACGTTAACTGGATCGAGAGCTTCCGTGTATAATTCGGAACAATTCATAAATTTATTGCGACAGACAACACACAGATCCCTCTCTCGACTTCCCTTTCTCTCGCTCACCCTTCCTTGTTTCTCATTTCGTTCTACCGACCCCTCTCCGGGCAACCCTCCGATATTCGTTCTCGCTCAGTCGGTGGGGTCGAGTCGCTGGAGAGAGAAACGAGAATGAAAGAAGGTGAAGAGGGAGACTGTACCAACTTAGACACATTAAAAATTTAATAACTCGGCTCGCTCGCTCGGTCGCTTGGTAAAGTACGTAGCTATTCGTCGAGTAGAAGAGGAGAAAGAGGAGAGAGAGGAAGAGGAGAAGCAGAAGGAGGAAAAGAAAGAGCGAAGGAGAGGAATCCCTTTAAATCCAGAAACCCGCCGCGATATTCAGCGACACTCAATGCGTCTTGCACACTTTGAAAAATTGAAATTATCTTTCCTCGAAGAAATCATTAAATTGTAATCGAGAAGAATTTCATTATTGAATCATATTGAACCTATATTAAGCGTATTCAACGATTACAAGAGGGCGTCGTGGAATATAACTAACACTCGCACGTTTCTTACAACTATGAGATAATTTTTATTTTTGATAAGGATATGTGTAATCGTAGATAAAGTGATCGTTAGCTTTTCTGGTATCACGCAAAGTATAAAATGTGATCAAAACGAATAGTAGTAAGCAAGTTGTCACAAGCTGAGAGACACTGACGAGCGTGCCGTCGAATTATGGCCATCTTTGTCCTGTAACTATATCACCGTATCATTCATCTTCTTTTTATTCGCAACAACCATCGGGTTCTTTCGTTCCGTTGTTCGCTTAACAACAGTAAAGCCATCTTCATTTCGCGATTTAACTCACCCCCGCCGTCTCTCTTGCTCCCTTTTCATCTTTCTATTGGGCGTTTCATCTTAACTCGATTTCCGTGTGTTCAGGGTAAATGGATATATCATAAAAACTTCGTCGAAAATAATTTATCGCCTTACAATACACGCGTAGATATCAAAAACAAAGCCTGTTTAATTATTCTAATAATTACAAAAGTGATCAACCGAAAAGACATCGTTGTAATTTAATTGATAAAACTTGCAGCCTTCACTACCTCAATTTTAACTTAAACTATAAGCAGCTTTTTTTAAATTAATAATTTAAATTAATAATTTTATTCTCGCTTCAGAGGACAAAAATAAATTCTGAGACGCCCGATAGCCGACGACTTTGGCCTTCTTCAATATGGCTAAAACTTCTTTCACGATCAACGTTCTCTTCGACCAATCTCACACTCTCGTTCTCTCGCCCTCTTTTCCACCTCCTTCCTCTTTGCGGCAGTTCTGCTACGAAACTGCCATAAATTCGTCCTCTTGTTGATCTTCGGGAGTTTTACGGCTCCGTATGTCGGATGTACCAATAAACG